TCTGTGTCTGTGGCCTGTAGGCGCAGGTGGCAGTTCGGCAGCCAGAGCATCAGTTTCTCCAGCAGGTCCTGTTCCAGAGTCTCCAGCAGGGATTCTTCCTGGCCTACGACAGCCTGCTGGCCTCACAGGTACGGGGGGTTGGGGGGGATTGCTGGGCTTGGAAATGGCGGGGGTGGGGCAGTGCCAGCAGGGGAGCTAGCACTGGGAGGTCGCTGGGCAATCCAATGTGGCTCCAATTGCACAACAGCACGACCTGTTCCACTTTCATTTTGCCCTTGTGCCGATGGCAGCAATGAAGAGCACAGCTGTGTTTCAGGCTGGAGTGACGGCTCGGTCTCCCTGTGTGTTTGTGTGCAGCTGCAGGACAGGGAGGACCTGAGGAGGGTGGTGCTCTCCTGTCGGGCAGCAGCCGGCCGGCTCCTGGGGGAGCAACAGGGCTTCTCTCCATCGGACAGAGGGGAGTACTTCGTTAAAGCTGGTAACTTGCTCCCTCGTTCTCTCAATCGGGCCCTGTTTTACCTCTCATCTCTGTGCCGATGTCTCAAGTTGGTGGTTGTGGGGAAAAAAACTCTTGATTATCACGTTTAGCGAAGGCTGATCTTTAGTGTACAAATGTATAAGCTGCTTAGAAATATGTAGCCTTGGTACAGTAAACATGCTTGAAGGATGTTCATCTTCACACATTCAATTTCCCCATTTTCTTTCAGTAATTTCCTGTTGGTTTAGCCTTCTCCTGCCCTTTTGCACACAGATTTTGATAAGATGTGCTGTAGCTGGGTTTGCAGGAGAAATCTGGGTGAGGTTTAGCACTATCCCCCGCTGGGATGTGAACCCTCAACCCCTCCGCATAGGTGCCTGAAGCACTAAACACTGCTGATCACTACTGCCCCCACAGGTCTCCTCTGGACAGGGCCCACTGCTGCTGTGCACCACCCTTAAACCTCTGTGCTAGCTTGTGTGCTGCTGTCCCCTGAATGTCCTTGTCCCTGTCCTCTCCAGTCAGCTGCATCAATACCCTGGCCTGTGGACTGTACAACCAGCAGCTGTACTCCGAGGCCCTCTCTCTGGTGGAGATCTTGTGCAAGGAGCTGGCCAGACCATCCGGCCTCTCTCTGCCTCAGGACAAGGTGAGGGCTGCCCCCTAGGACACCAGTAGCTGAGGACATTCCAGTACCTGGCTTGATTCCCGCCCTTGTGTATCCCTTTGCTGTTTTGAGATGGACCGAAAAGTCTGTTAGATAAGAATCTGCCAGTGTGTTATGGCCATTCAGCCTGTGTAGAGCCCTTGTGGTTATTTGGGTGTTGGTCTTTTTCTTGGATGAAGTTTATCTTGGACTTCCACAACTCTTTGTGAAAAGAATCGTCCCGTTTTTTCAGGGTCGAGTGACTTATGTCCTCTGGTACATGTTTCACTGTTGTCCGTGTCTTTGAGGATTTTAAATGCTGGAACCGGGTTCCCTCGTAAGCTTCTCTGTTCAGAATTTAAATGATTCACTTCTTGTGGCCTGTAACTGTAGGATTTTACAATTGTACTAAAATTCATAGAATAAATACTGTAGTCAGTTGCACTGGTGCACAACGTGTTCAAAATCTGCCATGCAGTGGTTATTACTATCCTCTGACGTGCAGACGAGTGTATGCCTGTGTTGTAGAATGGCGAATTGTCTTGTATTGGGAATGAATGTGAAGAGTGAAAGTGGGTGTTTGTCGTCTGTGGCCATGGATAAACAATCACTTTCATGTGAGAGCCGTTCTGCTTGCACAACCGGAGGCATCTCATGTTTTCTCTTGACTGTCGCTAAGCGTCAAGATGTTCTCCTGCTATCCTTACTATCCTTAGTATTGCATTGTTGTGTTTTGCCACCCTGCTGTCTTCCCAGCAGACGTTTTATGCCTACAGCTGGAACACCCTAGCCTGTTTTAGTAATCATCTGTACGGAGCAGCTGGCTGAGGCAGGGATAAGATAAGCTGATTGGGTAGTGAACATTTCTCAACTCGGACAGGATGGCTTATAATTCCTTGCGTTTATATGGCAGCGCTTTTCTGGCTCAAAGAGCTTTATAGGTAATAGGGACTCCCCTCTACTACCCATGTGCAGCCCCACCTGGATAGTGCGCCAGTCTGCTCACCACACACCAGCTATCAGTGATGAAGCCAGTTCATAGATGGGGATTATTAGGAGGCCATGACTTGTAAAGGTCAGGAGGAAATGGAGAACAATGCTAGTGCGGTTCCCTTATTTTGGGACAAGATTTTATTTTGCCTAACATTATTTGTATTGATATAAGCCCCTTCTTTAAACTGCGTGCAGGATGTTGAGGGCTGTTCTCTAAAAGGAAGCTTCTGATTGTAAATGAAGCTGCGCATTCTGAAATTCCAAGGCGGCTCGTGGCTCTTCCGATGGCGTTGTTCCCTGATGGGACTGCGCGGGGCTGATGTGGTTTCCCCGTGCCGTGCTCTCCCCAGCTGCACCGCGCGTTCCTGGTGGCCGTGCAGAGCTCGCGGAAGAGCGGGCAGCCGGAGCGGGCGCTCGACTGGGTGGTGTCCTGGCTGCGGGCGCTGGGCGACCAGGTGACCGAGCACATGGCGGAGCCCATCTCCCTGTGGGTCAGAACCAAGGCCGATGCCGCCCGCAGTGGCATGGAGGACATACGGCTCAGGTGAGGAGAGCGAGGGAAGGCGTCGGATTTTAAATTCCAAGAGGCATATACTTTTTTTTTTGGGGACAACACTGGCGCTGTCGTTGGCATTGCTGCCTCACAGCGCTGGGGTCCTGGGCTTAGTTGCTGGGGTGCTGTCTGTGTGGGCTTTGTATGTTCTCCTGTATTTGCCTGGGTTTTCTCCAGGTGCTTTGGTTTTCTCCCACAGTCCAAAGACATGCTGGTGGGTTAAATAGCTTCTGGTGTGAGTGTGTGAGTGTGTCTGTGTGTG